GATATTGTAGTATTATAGTAGGTAGTAGATAGTGTTTAGCACAGAGCCTAAGAGGTAATGAGCACTCAAAATGTAAAAGTAGAAAATTAAACTTAAGTTTCTATGACTCCAAAGGAAATGCTCCTTCTGTGGAAAATACTCAGGTCGGAAAGCAAAACCCTGATCCACAGTCACACCACAATGTCACAATGACAGACATGTTATACACTCCACCTGTACAACTCCTGAGTCACCTTTATGTAGCTTTCCTTCTTGAGACCACTGTCCATCACCTGTTGATTTTTACTGAAATCCTGGGGAGTCAGAAAGATGGGAGAGATCCAGAGAGGCCCAGAGAGACCACAGACAGACCTACCATTGAATCTCCCTCCTTTCGGCCTCTTTCTATCATATCCATTTTCTCCTCAGGGACTGTGAACTGGCATCTATAGGGAATTTCCTGTCAGTGAGCCTCTGCAGGGCAGACTGAGTGCTCATTCTTCCCTAGGGACCATCAAAGCCACCGTCCCTAGGGAATCCACAGTCCTGTTGATATAGGGGAAAGAGATGTAACTACCATACCTACTAGATATCCAAAACATGAGTTCGTGTTCTCTAAAATGGAAGAATGAATTCTAGGAACAATGGATGATAAGAGCAGGAAAAATTTATTGAAAGATAGCTTCTGTCTCAAACAGAAGGGAGACCAGAAAGGGGGTTACCCACCATCCCACTTCTCAAAGGTTTTTTATATAGTAAAGCCATGAGGTGAGGCAGGTACAAAGTGGGACAAAACTACAAGACCCAATGGAAAATTACAAGGTAGATATGAGGTGGGGCAAAACCATGACCAACCAATAAGATTACAAGTACAGTCACCCAGATAATATTGATTAAATGGGGGTCAAATGGGGGAGCAAGTCACATAGCAAGTGTATAAGGGTTTTCAGTAAGGGTGGGGGTCAGGGTTATATAATGGAAAGGCTGGGTTAAGACCTTACACCTCCACCCAGATGATTGACACCTATTTAGAATATCAATCACTGCTATTTATCCCCAGGGGAAGCACAGGGGTGTAGTAGTTTCTCTCCTTTTACAATTCTGCCTTCCATGAAAGTGTCTTAATTGCCCTCCATGTTGGCTCCTTCACTGTCCTCCATGTTGGCTCCTCCTAGGCTGGCCCTGTCTAACTACGAGATATCTAATTAAGTTACCTATCTGCAATACTATGAAGCCATTATTGCCACCCAACCTAAGGCAGATATTGTCACATTTTGTGCATCTTTGGAAATCTTCCCTCCAACTGGGTCATCAAAGAAAACAGGTTGAGGAGGCAGCTGGGAGGTATCTGGGTAATCCTCCCTGGCTGCCACCTCCACATTGGAACATCCAGCCAGGCTCATCAAACAACTGCAATCCCAACTAGGCACCTGCTCCCAAACCTACAACTGTTCCACCTGCTCCAAGAAGCCACAGTTCCTGCCAAGCCAGAACCATGGGATATGATTTGTATCTTAGAGAACAAAAGTCACATTAGCTAACATGTGAAGAGCAGTTAATACTTGCAAGACCTTGCTCCTCTGTATTTTATATATGTCCTAGAAGGAAATTGTAAAGGAAGTTGTTAAGGAAGATTCTTGGTTGTACATTTGGCTTAGGGGGTTGTTTCCTTGATATTGTTGTTAGTTTATTTTTCACTACATGTGATTTTTGTTCATTTGTTGTTTTGCTATTATGGAACAGAGCCTTATCAAATGTGATTGTTCTGTGGCTACCTGAAAAAAAATGTCTAGGACATTCTTATAATAAAAACTTTGAGCATAAACAAGCTTGTTTACTTGGATAAATTAGGGCTTTATTTCCCTAGAAAATGTAATCTTCATTTCACTGACTCTTCTTGTGGTCTAAGAATTTCCTTCATTTCCTGTGATCACTGGCTCTCACCACGAACCACAGCAGGAGGTTTAAAGGAGGGGGAGCCCTTTGAATGTCAGCTACAGTTGTTAGGCTGGAAGAAAAATTATTCTACTAGGGTTTACCCCACCTACCCAATCCCATTCTCACCAGGTTGTATCTGTGAGGTCTCCACAGCTGAAATGAAGAGCCTATCTCACCCTTTTAAGCTTTAAACCTTAAAGTTTATAGACCTGCTGACTCTCATCATGGAAAAAGTTTTCAGTTAGTAAAAAAGAGACATGAGAATATCTATTAGAGATAGAGATACAGGACACACTCTAAAAATGGAATGCACTCAGAAAAATGGTAACACATGACAAGCTGGGGTCAGGCATATTTAAAGGGGTGTCTTCAAGACAGGTGATGTAGGACATGTCTTCTCACTGTCTGTTAGGTTACAGTGCAAGCCATCTACATGTGTTTGAGATATGCTGTTTGTAGTTGAGATATGCTGTCACCAACACAGCTGCTTCCTGTCCAGGAAGAAAATGAATTTGCAGGCTTGGGTCTAGTGCCTGGGAACTTCCCAGCTATTATAAAAGGACCTTTACGAATTTAACACTGTTTTCTGTAAGGACAGGAGGAGGATCACAGGCTAGGCTGGCCTCTAGAAGCAGGAAAAAAATATTTCTTCAAGCTGCCATTTTTATTAAGTACAACTTTAAAAATCTTGATTTCCAGGAAAAAGACATGGATGCCCACTATCACCACTTCTCTTCAATATAGTTCTGAAAAATTAGCCATAACAATTAGACAAGAGAAAGAAATTAAAGCAATAAAGATAGGAAAGGAAGAAGTTAAACTGTCATTATTTGCTGATGATATGATATTCTACATTGAAGAACCAAAAAACTCCACTAAAAGACTTCTAGACTTAATTGACACTTTCAGCAGAGTAGCTGGATACAAGGACAACACTCAAAAATCAATAGCCTTCTTGTACACAAATAACAGACTCACTGAGAGATAAATTAGGGAAACAATTCCTTTCACAATAGCATCCAAAAATATGAAGTATCTAGGAATCAATCTAATGAAAGAAAGCAAAGGCCTCTACACTGAAAACTACAGCACTCTGAAAAAAGAAATCAAAGAGGATATAAGAAAATGGAAAGAGATCCCCTGCTCCTGGGTAGGAAGAATCAACATAGTGAAATTGGCCATACTACCAAAACTGATATACAGATTCAATGCAATGCCAATACAAATTCCAACAGTATATTTCACAGAACTAGAAAAAAGAATCCAAAAATTCATTTGGAACCATAAGAGACCTAGAATAGCAAAAGCCATTATAGGCAACAGTCACATGGCACCAGGTGTAACAATTCCCAATTTGAAACTATACTACAAAGCCACTGTGATAAAAACAGCATGGTATTGGCAAAGAAACAGACCTGAGGATCAGTGGAACAGACTGGAAGATACAGAAACAACTCCAGACATACTCAGCTACCTCATCTTTGACAAAGAAGCCAACCATCCTCAGTGGAGGAAAGGTAGTCTCTTTAATAAATCGTGTTGGAAAAACTGGATCTCAACCTGCAAAAGATTAAAACTGGACCCTATTTTTAACCATGCACTAAACTAAAATCTAAGTGGATTAAAGATCTAAATATTAAAACAGAAACACTAAACTTACTGGAAGATAAGTTAGGCAGAACTCTTAAAGATATTGGCACAGGAAAAGACTTTATGAACAAATCCTCAGTAGCATGGGAACTAGCAGAAAGAATCAACAACTGGGATCTCATCTTATTAAAAAGCTTCTGCACTGAAAAAGAAACCATCAACAGAACTATAAGACAATCTACAATGTGGGAAAAAATTTTACCAGGTGCTCCTCAGACAAATAACTATTATCTAGAATATATAAAGAACTCAAATAAAAGCCCCCCAAATATAAAGTCCAGATTCAAAAATTTGCATCTGAAATGAACAGACATTTCTTAGACAAAGAAGTAAAAGTATCAAGTAATTATATGAAAAAATGTTCCACATCACTGGTCATTTGAGAGATGCAGATGAAAAAAAACACTGAGATTCCACCTCACCCCACAAAGAACGGCTGCTATCAAGAAATCAATCAATAATAAATGTTGGCAGGGTTGTGGGGAGAAAGGAACCCTTCTCCATTGTTGGTGGGAGTGCAGACTGGTGCAACCACTATGGAAATCAATATGGAGATACCTTAAAGAACTAGGATTAGAGGTTCCATTTGACCCAGCTATTCTTCTGCTGGGTATCTTTCCAAAATAATTTAAAGAATCATACCACAGTGATATATGTGCATCCATGTTTATAGTGGCACAATTTGTAATAGCCTACAAATACCCCATTTACCTATCATTTGGAGACTGAATAAAGAAGATGTGGTTTTTCTATAAAATGGAATACTATTCAGCCATAAAGAATGAGAAATTAGAGTCATTCATAGGAAAATGGATACATATTGAGGATATACTCCCAAGTGAAATAAATAAGTCACACATGTATAAATACTGAATAGTTTCTTTGGTGTGGAAAAACTATAATTGTAAATAAGATCATAATGGTATAACTGACAATGTGAAATAGGAAGAAAGGGGCTAAAGGTGTAGAGGAAGTGGGAAGGGTAGGGGAAAGGAAATAAGGGAAAAGAAAAAATATGTGAAAATGAAAGAATGGAAATAAATTTTTTGTAAGTAGGGAAGGGAGGAGGGGTGAAAGGAGGGCAGGGGTAAGAAGAAAAAATGAGAACCAAGATCTTTCATGTAAAGGTATAAGATACGAAAGATGAATGTAACTATACTGTATACCTAGAATGTATCAATAAACTCAATGAGAAAAAAATCTTGATTTCTTTGTCTCCTGTTTACTTCCTTTATTTCTTCTGTCCTATCTCATGCTCACCACTAACTCCACAGAATGCTTTTTTCTCCACCTTATCAAGGTTCTAGAACAGGTCAAAACAGATTGTCCATCAAGGACACTGTCCCGCAAGCTCACAATGGGGTATAATATGCCCTTTGTCTTGTGCTTTTCCCCATTTGCTCTTTTCTTTCTGGTAAACTCCTATTCTTGCTTCAAAAGTCCATCTGGCCTTTGCCTCCTCTGACAACCCCTTGACTTTCCCAGGCTTTGAGAGCGTAACTGCAGGCTCAGAGTAGAGCTGGGGCCAGGGTTGGTCACCAAACTGTTGCCCATCCATGGAAAGTAAGGTAACCTCATGACATGACAGCGGAGGCATTTTCAGAGCAGTCATACAGAACCTCATGACTAGTGAATGTAATAATAGAAAAACAGGGCTTGGATGTTGTGAGTCTTTATTTCATTTTTATAATGATGCCTTCTTATTGTACTTTACAAAAGTATTGATCCACAATGGATTGAAATTTATTAAAGGTTGGGCTGTGAGGGCTTCACCACAATGGCTGGAACAGCATCGACCAGGTCTTTTTCTCTGCGGCTTCACCTCTCCTCCCACTTCCCTGAGCACTGCAAATTCTCCACAGCATTTAATATATGATGGACTTGAAGGCAAAGCAATTCTTACCTAAACTTCTCTTCTTTCCCTAGAAAGGAGGGAAACGAAGCTAAGAAAGGTAAAGTAACATGCCTGTGTGTGTTTCCTACTGCTGCTATGATAAAGTACCACAAATGCAGGGGCTTAAAGCTACATAAATTTAGTATGTATAGTTTTGGAGGTCAGAAAGCTAATGGGTTCTCTGCTAAAACCAGAGTGTCAGCAGGGCCTGTGTTCTCAGAGGCTCTAAGAAAGAATGTATATTCTTGTCTTTTCCAGAGTCCCTTGGCTCAGAGCCCTTTCCTCCAGCCTCAAAGCCAGCAAGCCAACAGTACAGCGCCCCTGTCTGTCTGTCTCTCTCTGCCCCTTTCACACACACACACACACACACAACCTCTGCTTCCATCATCACCTCACTTGTCTAACTCGTAACTCCTTATAAGGACCTCTGTGATTACTTTGAGTCTATCTGGATATTCCAGTATAATCTCACCTAAAGATTTTTAATTTCATCACATCTGTAGAGCCCTCAAACAGCATACCTAAAAATTACAGGGACTAGGACATAGATTCCACCTATTCAAACTCAGGTCTTGGCCTCACGATCCACGTGTTGTGTTTTGTTTGTTTTCTAAACTATTCCGCTCTACCTTTAATATATGTGCATATTTGGTAAAATGCTTTGTTTGAAAGCATTAGAAAATAGTACCCCCTGGTATGGGTGGAAAAAGGATTCCTATGATTGTACCTTCCTCACTGAGGAGAATCAGAGTCCCCTGCTGGTAGTTGCACCCACACAGGGGAGCCCCAAAAGCAACTGTGGGCTCAGGAAGACCTGTGATGAGTCTCCCAGTGAGCACACCCTTGCATCTCAGCAAAGACAGGGATTTCTCCAGAAGGGCAATGCTCCTTGACAGTGCTGTCTTTTTATTCCCAAGCAGTAGTAAATAGATATGCGATGTTTGCTAGCAAGAAGAAAAACTTACACTGAGTTTCTCCAGGAAGATACTAAGGTAACCCAGCAGCACCAATACACTGCAAGCCTCATTTAGTTCCTTGTGGTAAACTTGTATAAATCCAATACAGTATGCCTCAAGAGCTTGCTCTGTGATGTCCTGCTTGATGAAAATACTGGCATCATCCACTACACAGTGGTTGTTTAACTGCAGTGTTTCCCCCACTCTCTCCATTCCAGCTGTCCCATCTCATGTCCCAGAGCCTCAGCTCCTCCTGAAGATTGTGTCCCAGGGAAGCACACTGGGAAAGGAAAGCAAATTTTCCTCTGGAAAGAACACAGACCTATTGCTTCACTGCAACAGCTGTGGAGCTGTCACTCTGGCCGGCTCTGACAAGGGGGACTGGAGGGTGTTGGGCCTCAACAGGAGCCACTGTGTGGCACTTCCAGTACGTGTATGTGGCACAAGGACCTGAGGGCCATGCCCGTAAACAGGCTCCTCTACCCCCAACAAAGCCAGGCAAGAGCAGGACAAAGATGCAAAGGCAGATGAGTCCAGGCAGGACCACTAAGCAGGGAGAGGGAGCCATCCAGCCAGCCTGAAAAGCGTTTACAGAACCCAGAAGCCCAGATGTGTAATCTGGGAGCATTTAGAGGGATCCAGGAATCATCCTGAGCGCCTCCATCTGCGCTCCATGTGAGAACTATTCTCCCCTCTGTCTCTGCATGTCATGTTATATCAGTGTCTTTCTTCTTCTGCAGGGCGGCCATGGATGAGTGTTCAGATCCTCCACTGAACAAAGGCACCACACTGAGGAACGTCACCAAAATCTAAGCCACACCTTCACTTACCTGAGAGCACTCTGGCCAGTACGTGGATTCCAGGCCTCCAAGCTATGTGTACAGGGACAGCAGCTGTGAGCCAGTCATGATGTAAACTCACCATGGACACAGCACACTCAGCAGAAAAGGCCAGTCATGTGCAGCTGTGCCCTCCCCGCAGCCCTCTTGCCTGCCCACTGTTCTTGGGAGATGAAAATGCATTCCCAGCACTCTGCACCTTTTTATAAAATTTCATTGGTATATATTTGTAATACGTAGCAATTATATTCAGTTTGGGGTAGATGTGTAGCACCTATCTAATCTTGATCATTTGTACTCACCCTGCCCCTCTCCCTTCTTCCTCAGGTCCCCTTCCTATCTCTACAGAGTATACCTCCTCATTTTTTAACATAGCTCTTTTATTTTACTCTTTTAATTATGTAATTTTAGGTCTCTCATGTTAAAGAAACCATACAACATTTAATCTTTTGTGACTTATTTTTCTTAGTATTGTGCTTTCAAAATTTACCCATTTTCCTACAATAAAATGTATCCCTCTTTATGACTCCATAGTACTTCACTGTGTATATATATTTTATAAGCCACTTCCATGATTTAGCTTTTATGAGTCATGCTGCTATAGACATGGGTACGTGTGCACCATTGTGCCATGATGACTTCCTCCTTCAGAACCTAACCAGGAAAGGTATAGCTGGGTCAAATGGAATGCCTTATGTTATGGTTAATATCTAGATGTCCCCGTAAAGCCTTGTGTGATCATAGGCAGGAACATTGGAAGGTGACTGGACTACAGAAGTGCTATCACTGACTTGCTGTTAGGAGGTGGGCCTGGTCACAAGAGGTGGGACATGACCCAAAAGGTTGTGTCTCCCTTCCTAGCTCATCTCTTGACTCTCTGCTTCCTCGGTGCCATGATATGTGTAGCTTTCCTCCACCAGGCCTCTCTGCCATGCTGTTTCTTTGGAGCCCACCAACCACATACTGAAACGTGAGCCGAGATAAATATTTCCTCCCTTAAATTGCAGGTGTCCAGTACTGTCTTAGCAACAAGAAAGTGACTGAAACACTATTTTTCTTCTTTTAAGAAATCACCATACTGGTTTCCAAAATGGTTTTACTAGTCCATATTCCCACGTACAATGTTGAAGGACTCCTTTTCCCCCATAACCACACCATCATTTACTGTTTTTTGAGTTCTTGATATGGCCATTCTTACTGCAGTAGGGTGAAATGTCAGGGTTCCATTGATTTGCATTTTCTCCAATGGCCAAAGATGGTGAACATTTTTTACGGTGCTGCGGATAGCACCTAGGGCCTCACACATGCTAGGCAAGTGCTCTAACACTGAGCTACATCTCCTGCCCTGTGGTGAAATTTTTTCATGCATTTGTTGGCCATTTGTATTTCTTCTTCTGAGAAGCATCTATTCATTTCAATTGCCACTTTTGATGGGATCTTCCATGGGGAGTCTAATTTTTTTAGTTCTTTATATATTCTAGATACTAGTCCAGTAGCTGCCAAAACTTTTTCCCCATTCTGTTGTCTCTTTATTCTTTTTTTTTTTTTTTTTTTCAGACAGGGTCTCACTGTGTAGTTGAGACTATCTAGAACTCACTATGTAGCCCAGGCTGGTCTCAAACTCACAGTGATTCTCCTGCCTCAGTCTCCTGAGTGCTAGGATTACAAGCATGCGCCACCACACCCAGCTTCTTTACTCTTGATTGTTTCCTTTTCTGTACAGAAGTTTTTAATTTGATATAATCCCATTGGTGGATTCTTCGTGTAGGAGACCAAAATATTTATACTCTCAGAGTTGTTTTTAAGCCTAACATAACTGCCTCCATGTTAACATCTAAGTCACCTCACTGGCACAGACGTGCCGATGACTGTACTAACGGCCTTGCTCATTTAATGACCTAATCTGTTACATAACAACTGTATCTCATCATGACTGTTACTGTACAATATGTTTCTCCTTTATCATTTTATGATTAGCTACTTCCTCTTACAATTCTGTGGTTTTTGCCTTTATATACTGCTTGTGCCTGCAAATAAACGAGACCTTGACAAGCCTCTGCTTGGTCTCCTTCTTTCTGCGCCTCTTTTGTCCCATTTCCAGGTATCTCCCCTTCTCGAGCTCTGCTAATTACAAGCCCTGCTGGCTGGGGCACTTCGTATTATGTCTTGTACAACTGCAGTTCTGTTCAGGAAGTCCTAACCTATACCTTTGTCTTTAAGAGTTTTTATCAATTTTTTTCTTCCAACAGTTTCAGAGTTTCTGTTTTACATATAGATCTTTGATCCATTTTAGTACAGGGTAAGAGATATATATCTAAATTCATTCTTCTGTGTGTGGATACCAGTTTTCCCAAAACCATTTGTTTAAAAGGCTGTCTTTTCTCCAGCATACAGTATGGGCCCTTTTGTCAAAAATCAGATATCTGAAGGTGTTGGAGTTTTTTGTGTCCTCTATTCTATGCCATTGTTCAATGTGCCTATTTTTTGCGTGTGTGAGGGCACTATGCTGTTTTAACTGCTGTAGTTTTGTAATATAACTTGAAGTCCAGAACCACAATGCCTCCCGTCTTGCTCTTGTTACCCAGAATCCAGAATCCTGCTTCTGACGCTGGACCTGACTCCATCGCCTGAGCCCAGGGGTGAGTTTGCCAAGGATCTGAGAGTGTGCACTTGTGTATCCAGGGTTGTTGGCTCACAGAGCTCCCCTGGCAGCAGCGTGGCTGCGGACTATCATTATGCAATAGAGTCAGTACGAACTTCCTGAATTGGGTGGGGGGATGAGAAGAGGCACGTTTTAAAAGGCTTTTTTAGAAACATACCTCATGCTCCAGCTTGACCATTTCTGTCTCCTCCCTGAGGTGACCGTGAGTTCATTAAGAACTTGATATTTCTTTGCACCCCCAACAACCAGCAGGTCATTTCTCCAATTTCTCTATAGCTCTTACCCTGAATGACAGGTAGAAGAAAGGAAAGGAAAATATGCAAAGAAAAATGAAGGAAGGAAAGAGGGAGGAGGGAAAAAGAATACTGTATTTGGATGGATGGATGGAGTGATGGAATGATAGATTTGTTATACTGGTTAGACACAAACACAGGTTGCTTTCCTCTAAATCCCCTACTTTGACCAATTCTGGCCACTTTTTTTTTTTTTTTTTTTCTTGTTGTAGAAAACTTATTTTTTTCCATGAAACAAAGTTTGGGTCAGTGGGAAATAATAAATCAAAAAATTGAATGGCACATTTTCTCCGCACATATCCTACTTTGAATTAGGAAATGACATTGAAATCCATTTCACTACAAGTAAAATGTTACATGAAAGCATTAAAAATAACTGAAACACAAAAAGAAGAAATAAATTGTTATGTTTTTGTTTGTTTGTTTGTTTGTTTTGAGAAATCTCTATTCCGGGGCTCATGGCACACAAGAGAGTCAAAACAGGTAAAAGATGCACCTGGACACAAATTTCCAAAAAGTTGGAAAAGGGGAAGAAACGGGATGAAAATGGTGGTGTGAAGAGAATGGACATTCGCAGCACTGCTTCGGTAACCAGTCTTCTGGATGAAATACCCACCCTCCCCTCCTGTGCAGAAAATTCCCCAAAGCTGGACTCTAGGATACTCCTTGAACTGAAATCAGAAAATCCCCTGACAGTGAAGCAGCTCTTTCACCCAAGCGCTGACTTGTGTGGAGTGTAGCTCCGTGAACCGCTGCTGTAAGCAGAAGCCTGCTTCAGCCTTGAAAGTTGTCACAGCAGCTTTTCCATCTCTTTCATGAACATCATCCTTAGTTTGTACTGAGACAGGAACAGAAGGAGCAGACTTGGGGGCTGCTTTGGCAAGAGGCACAGCAGAATCATCCTCTGACTTCCTCTGGGGCCATCAGTGGCCCCTTTATTCTCCCAAAGTACCCTCAGTGAGTGGGCACAAATCGAGTCATCTCTGCCTTGAGGTTAGTGATCTGGGGCTTCGCACAGATGGTCACTGTGGCTTTCTTCTCGATGGTGGCTGCACTTGTGTCATCTGCCTTGGGTCGCTGAATCAAGTTGGGGGGTGCGGTGGGGCTCAACACACCTGGTTCAGCAAGGGAGCTGGGGGGAAGAGCCCAGGTGGGGCGGGTCCGAGTGGAGGCACCAAAGTTGGGCGCATCGTGCCAGGACGGGGCAGAAGGATGCCTGGAGGTTCAGGGGAGGTAGCCTTGGTGGTGGGCCCCGGGGAGGAGGGTCAGGGGTGATCTCAGGAATGGAGGAGCCCCTGGAGGTGGCCCAGGAGGGAGGCTTGTAGGCGGTCCAGGAGGCCGCCAAGGTGGAGCAGGAGGTGGTCCAAGAGGAGGCGGGCCTGGCATAGGCGGCACTTAAATCTGAGGAGGAGTAGTAACCGTGCCATCACAATGAAGATCCTCCTTATGCTGTTTCTGTGATTGCTTCTCTGCTTCAGAATCATCAGGATCATCATCATCATCGTCGTTGTCCTCTGAAAATTCCTCTACTTCCCGGCCCTCCTGGGGATTTCCTGAGCCGCCATTCGAAGCATCTTTAAACAGTGCCCCCTTCCCTCCTGTCTCTCACATCCATTGTGTTATTCCCAAAGCCACCTGCGCCTTCTAGACCGAGCCACTGTCGGAGCCCATGCACTGCCCTTCCACAGCTGAATATGGATCTCTGCACATCTTCCCCTCCTTCATCCCCGGGAGCTGGAAGCCAGGCCACAGGCCTTCCCATGGTCCTGCTGTGTGCAGAATGTGTATAGCACTCAGCCCCGAGGAAGTAAGAATCTCCCTAAACATTCGGGTACCATGAGGATTTTGCTGCCATCACCTCCTTTGTGGAAGACAGAGCTCCCTCATATATCCAGCCGGACTGCCCCAAATCCTACTTAAAGATTTAGCTTCTTTATTCTTTGTGGAGGTTTCTTTCCCTGCTCATTCTTAGTGCCTACTGCTGTGAGGTTTTTTTGAGGTGGCTTATTCCAAGGAATACTGAACATTCTCAAGGCTCCAAGATATTGACTCTAAAATGGCTGGGGGACTCTCAATGTTGACTTCAACAGAGTGAAGGTGAAAATGGTACTTTTTGAGCATCTAATCTGTGCCAGGCACTGTCCTGTGCCCTGGTGGGCAACAGAGGATAAAGGAGCTCCCTGTTCCCATGGAACTTCCAGTCTATTAGGAGGAGAGACAAATGAATCA